ACCGGCCGCAGCCGCCACCGGGGCTCCTTACCTCGCTTTAAATAAAATATCGAAAGAAATGTGCGGAGCGAGGAGCCGAAGCGGGATGAAAAGGGAGGAAACTGATAAGGAGGCGAGGAAAAGAAAAGCCGTCAAAGAAGAGGGTAATATGATGTACAATAGATCTGTCCTGTCTTTGTCTCGCAGAGGTCATCCAAAAGTTACCAGAATTTAGTTCTGCTGAATAAAATTAGGCAATCAGTAACTCCCCATTCACTTTGCAAGCCTCAGCATATATGTGTGCGTACGTATGCGCGCACAGATGCGAACGCACACGTATGCGTGGAAATCTATACACGTATGTGTGTAAAATCATACAGATGGCAAGAAACCGTTCACTTTTAGCCACTAAAGTTCAATCAATTGAACTGGAGACGGCATTTAATTAGGTTAAAAATATCACCGGCTTAATGAGATAAATTCGGTCTTCATTCATCAATATCCTTGCTGGAGCACAAGTAAATACATTCCAGTGAGACGAATGCTGCTTTTGCTGCTGTCGTAAATATTTTGACGCGATCTGGACCCTTGACAGGAAAATTTTGCTAACGTTTTGCATATCTAACTAATTTATTAGTATCTTTTTAAGGATTCATTCACTGATTGGTAGATAATTTTTTTCCCCCAGAAAATTTATAACTTCTGGTGAAATTATCTGTTTAAATTCACAGTCTGTCAGCGAGAGTTACGACTGAACGACAATTGAAATTATAAGATGCACCCTAAAACCTAAGAAATAGGAGTGAGGCAGCAAAACTTTTATAATTTCTGAGTGTTCAACACGCATATGCCTTTTGATTCCGCCAGTATTTAAACTTCTAACCATTTGCAGAAAGGTGAAGTTTTTGCATCGACCATATATTCCCCTAGAATCGAATCTGTGACTATATGATTATCACACAAATTCGGTTCTACAGGGTATATATAGACAACGTAATAACATTCTGTTTTCATCTACAATATAGCAGGTCTCTGAAATTCTTACTCCTTACTGTCTTCTGAGGAATGCAAACTATTCTGCTGGGACTCAGTTCTGAAATACTGCTTTGCAGGAAGGTGGGATTTCAGAAAAGATTCACGCTTGTTATTATTGCTGCGATAGAGCTATACGACTCTCCACCAAATTATAACGACGAATTTCGCCCACCAAATTCTCAGAAAGACCTGCTGCTCACTTTAAATGCTCTGCCGCTTACGTCCTCGCTACCGAAAACGGACGTTACTGGTCAAATTGCGCTATTTAGAACAATAATAGTTAAAATAATTTAGAAAAGAGTCTTTATCTGTTTAGGCTAACAGGAATCTGAAGAGATTTTCCCTAATTAGAAATCCCCCCACCAAAAAAAAAAATAAAACAATTAATTAAAAAATATCGAAACAGAAGTAAAACAGCCGATAACAGAAACAGCGATTGGTGAAAAAGAGCAGATTAGAGGCTGGAGTTAGTTGCTCTCGGGAAGAAGAGAGTTTCCAAATTTACCTTCATCCCATTATGCTGGTCTAGCTATTATCCCCGCGAGCTGCCTGCGAGCCGCAGCTTCGCACCCTCCCAGGTTCTCCCCGCCGTAGCGTTTATGGTGAAGGGCAGGGCGAGAGGTCAGCCGAAATCATTTACAAACATATCACAAAGTTTCATTATTTTTACTTTGTCGACAGCAGCACACAGGAGTACAAAAGTTCATGAATTGTGTCTGACCCAGCTCCTCACTGCTGTCCTGCGGTCAACCTCTTCTCCTTCCACTATTTAAAACAGGCACCATAAGGACAAATAATGGTGCGGGTGTGATACATCCAACCACTGCGGAGGGCAGATTTGGGGGTGTTGTGTTTACCCGAGCGATGTGCACCGGTTTGTTTGCCTGGCTCCAGCTTCCAGCTGCCTGATCTAGGGGATGCTATTTTTAAACATCTGCTTTCTTACCACTGCGGTGGTGTCTTCTTCACAGCAAGTGCAACTCGAAACGACTTTGTGTCCCTAATCTCGTCCCCCTTTCCCCACGGATTATTTAAGTCTCCACCCAACTATTTCAAGCGGCTCGCCCTGCTTTCCTTCCTCTGAGGGGAGGGGGAATACCTCGCCCTCGAAGGGGGGTATTACCCACCCGGCTGAACTGGCAGGGTAACACACCCCTCCCAAAGCGAGCTCGCGTTTCCGACAAGCCCGCCGAGGGCTGCCCGGGGAGAAGCGATGAGGCTGGGGAAGCAGCAGCTCCCTGCTCTGCTAAATACTACACATTTTCATATTTGTTAGACGCTGTGACCTGCGTTTCACCTTATTGCACGACTTGCTCAGACAGGTCAAAGCCAAAGAGTTATTGATGAACAGAAGCGTTATATATTCACCTCCTGTTCAACTGCCCATACAAAATGCTTTTGATCTATCAGGCTTTTTGTATTCTGGTTCATAATCAGTATGCTAAATGTACGTTGGCAGAAAACAAGTAATCCATACATTTAGGGCCGGCCCTGGAATAAAACGCCAAGGACATCTACGTAGCGCGGGGCTGAGCTACGGGGGGAGGAAAGTTACCTATGGAACACAATTAAAACTGCCACGCTGGAGGCGATTCCTTAGTTCGTGTTTAAAGGGCTCGAAAACCAATATCGCCACTAAGGCAAAGAGACGGAGAAGCCTGGCACAAGCGGTGGAAGAGATTATTTATCAACAAGCAGGGAGAGGAAACAGGGAGAGGAAACAGGGAGAAACGCAAACAAACACAGCTCCGCTCCCCTACGCACTCCCGTTCAGAGCGGGGCTGGCAGCAGCGGGGAGGGCAATGTGTACCTAACGCATCTCCAAACATCGCAGGCTTTCTTTTCCTCCTTGCGAGACAAGCCGGTCTCAGTCTGAAGCATCAGGACTAATGCACTTAGCTCCTGACTGCAGCCTGAAAGGTTCAACAGCATTTCCTGCTACACACCGGTCTGCTGCCCTCCCCTCGCCCCCCCAGCGCAGCTCACGCGGGACCATCGGGGGTGCGAAAGCCCCTCCAGTGGAAGGTTGCCCTCCTGGGCTCAGACACCCATCTCCCTCCCTGCCTGCTCAGCATTCAGATCCACGCTGGAATCTCCCCTGCCCGGACAGACCCAAGAGCAGAGGATGAGCGCTACCGCCCCGCACCAGCCGGCTGCAGCGGGGGCTGGCAGCCCCGGGACTACCGCCCCTTTCACCCAGTCACCGGGCTGCGCCCAACGGGGCTAACGCCGGGCAGCAGGCACAGCTCAGCCTGAAATCCCGGCTGGAGCGAAGAGGGGGAGTAGCCAAGGTTTTAGGAGGTGCTGGGACACGAGGTGATCCGCCCGGGACCTGCACGGGGAGGCGCTGTACAGTCCCGTCGAGTTAAAATGGAAGCGCAGCTCATCGCTTCAGGGGGGTTACGAGCAGGAGGATACCTGTGCAACCCCATAATAAACCCTCAGGAGACTGCACCTCTACTTTTAACGCCAGCCAGGATTATGACATGGTACCACAAACCGACTCCGCGAGAGCCTTCACACTTTGTCACAGTCTTTTTTTTTTTTTTTGGGTAGCAATATTCATCAGGGATATATCAACTTTAATTCTTCCAGTCTGAAGGGAAGAAACAGGATTTTCAAGCAGCGCAAACTCTACAAGAATTAAGAGATTACTTACCGTGGATGTCCTTCCATGCTGCCAAACCTGTTGCAACAAAAACGTTTGTTACTGTTGTATTCCACATACGGGTGATGTTTCTGGAGAACAGTCACAGACCACGTTTGATAGATGAAGGCAGAGAGGAGCTGGTGGTAAATCCTGCGAGCAGCGAAGTGGTGGGGTGGAAGCCCCTTCCAAATGAGGACCACGTTGCATTCAGGCAGTTTTTTTTTATGAACACATGCTTTCCCTATGCCTGGGATGTGATCTTTCACTTTTAATATTAATGGTCTAGATTTTATACTGGGTAATTTCTAAAGGGATGAAAAGTCAGACCTGCCCCTTTCACTGATGTGAAAAAAAAAAGAAAGAATAACAAAGGCCTTTTTTTGTTGGTGGTGGTGTGTGGCAATCCAGTCACTTAGAAATGAAATATTGAGATCATCTCTGCTAAACCATCACCCATAAAATGTCACAAGATGCCAAGCAGCATCGTATCGATGCTGAGCACAGAAAGAACTACAATTTCATAAGAATAAATCTCAGATTACTCCAAGATAGGTCCCCTTTAAGATCACCTAATTAACCTAACAGTAACCACGAGACATGCGTCTTTGTTTGCATTATAGAAGGACAGATTTGACTTGAACTTTCCTATTTAAATAAATACACTTAAAGCTCACATTAAGGAAAACAAGACCACGCGCTCAGTCTAATGCTCCTGAAACGCATCGTATGCTTAATTTTTTTTTTTCTGTAAGCGATTTTTCACTTCCTCTATTGACTTTCTACGGTATCTTGGAGAGTTACTGTTTACACAGAGAGCAATTGCCTAGGTATCCATAGTTCACTAGACAGCTTCCGAAGACTGTTTTTGTTAAAAAATATATATATTTCTTTTAGTTCTGTCTGGTCTGGATAGCATTCAGAGCTTGCGAGGGCAGTGCAATAGTATCAGCATTTCGGCACTAAAGATTCCCTTACCGTTCCTTTCCTTTCTTTTATATATTTTCATTTTTAAAACATAAATAATAATTAAAAGAGGTTAGCTTCAAAAAAGATGTCCCATT